AATATATTGAACAAAAAGAACTCTGACTTCATTTTTAATTATGCTGTTTTTTTCTGAGGTTTTCTGCCCCCTAAATCAGAAACAAAACCATTGACAATTAAGTTGTTATATAATTGAAATGCTCTTTTTGTGTATTTTGGATCTGGCACTTGATTGTAGTTGTAGGATAATATACAACAAAATCCTGAACTAAATAGCTGTCTGTTTTGACTTCCATTTTTCTTTACTTGTAGCTTCTGATCCTTAATTTCCATTTTTTGGCTATTGTTCTGATTTTAACACCTTCGACTAGTTTTCCTGTTCAGTAATTTAATGTAAATGGGATCAGTCAGTACCACATAGTGACTTAAAACATTTTAGAATAGCACAAAATGCTGTGTGATTAAAAAATAGACTCTTTAACTACATTAAGAAATTATAACTTCAATTCATGTTTAATGCACATTAAAAGTTGGACTCTATGACAAATGTTAAATTATAAGAAAAACTTAATAACTAACATATGCCGATGAAGAAAAAACATAACCAGCGTCAACTTTTTCATCTTGGACCACCTCTTTAGTATCTCATGGAAGATAGGAATTCAGTGGTATACTGTTTGGATAATGTTGATCTGGAAATACTAGATTTTTTCTGGTGCTAAGGTCACTTGCAGTTATAGTCGATTGGAACACCATAAGCTCTAAGACCAGGCAGGGAAGGAAGCCTGCCAAGAACCTGCTTAGCAACCACAACTTGTTGGCCCTTTTTGCCACACCATCTCCATAGGTCCCAGACCTCAGCCTGGTTAGTGGATGAAAGGGAAACAGGGATAGAGCCAAGGAAGATGGGTCGTGTCAGCCAATGGGTCGTGCCTGCAAAACCCAGGAAGACAAGATCAGAGAGCTCTGCACTTGGAATACAACCCTTAGACAAGTTCTACCACCCAGATCAAATGTTTTTTCTCTAATCCTACTCCTTAGGTGAATTTCTTGAACTCTGACTTTCAATTCAAGGCTACAGTTCTAATACCAGCCTTGATGGGTCTTGGCATCTTTCTCTTGGACCATCAGGCTTTTTGTGTGACTCTGGCCCTTGTATCTCAGATCAGATCCTTTGTCTCCCACACTGAATAGATTTCAGTCTTGCTTCACTCTAACAAGTTACTTTTCTAATATTAAGGAGCAAATAGGTGCTAGGAGTTCAAGTTTTTCATTTTTTCCTTTGAAAATGTCGATAGTTTTTCATTTAAGAAAAATTATGAAATTATTTAAATACATCATTTATTTTTTAATTGAAAAATAAAAATTGTATATATTTGTCCATTGCAACATGTTTTGAAATATGTATACATTGGGGAATAGCTAAATAGAGCTAATATATGTATTACCTTTTTTGTGTGTGGTAAGACTTCAAATCTACTTGATTAGCAATTTTCAAGAGTATAACACATTGTTATTAACTATAGTTACCATGTTGTATAATAGAGCTCTTGAATTAAGTCCTCTTGTGTAATGTAATTTTGTATCACTTGACCAAGATCTCCCTGACTCCTTCCCTTCCCACAGCCCCTGATAACCATTCTACTCTCTACTTCTGTTAATTCAACTTTTTTAGATTCCACACATAAGTGACATCATACAGTATTTGCCTTTCTGTGCCTGGCTTATTTCACTTAACATAATGTCCTCCAGGTTCATCTGTGTTAAAAATGACAGGATTTACTTTTTTTTTTTTAATTTCAATATATTGCAGGATACAAACGTTCTGGTTACATAAATTGCCTTTATATAGCTGGAGTCAGTGTGCCCATCACCCAGAGACTGTGCATTCTACCTGTTAGGTGTGAATTTACCCATCCCCTCCCCTATCTTCCCAGGATTTCCTTCTTTTTAAAGGCTGAATAGTAATCCATTTTGTATATGTACCACATTTTCTTTATTCATTCATCTGTTGATGGACAGGTAGATTAATTCCATATCTTGGCTATTGTGAATAGTGCTAATGTGAACACGAGAATGCGGATACCTCTTCAACATACTGAGGTAGTTACATTTTTAATATTTGAGAACTTCCATACTATTTTCCATAATCGTTATACTAATTTACATTCCCACCAATAATCTGCAAGGGTTCTGTTTTCTTTACATCCTCTCCAACACTTGTTTTCTTTCATCTTTTTGATAATAGCCATTCTAACAGGTGTGAGGTAATATCTCATTTGTTTCTCATTTGTATTTCTCTAATTAGTGATTTTGAGCATTTTTTCATATAACTTTTGGCCATTTGTATGTCTTGTTTTGAGAAATATCTATTTGGATCCTTTGCCCATTTTTAATTGGGCTAATTTGTTTTCTTACTTTGAATTCCCTATATTTTGGATATTAAGCCCTTATCAGATGTTTGGTTTGCATATATTTTCTCCCATTTTGTGGTTGTCTCTTCACTCTGTGATTGATTGTTTCCATGGCTGTGCAGAGCTTTTTTTCACTTTGATGTAATCTCATTTGTCTGTCTTTGCTTTTGCTCCCTTTGCCTTTGGATTCATAGCCAAAAAGTCATTGCCCAGGGCTTCATACTTTCCATCTATGTTTTCTTCTAGTTTTAGATACATCATAATCACTCCCCAACCTCTCCTCAAAGTCAGCCATTGTAAATGTTGAATTTGGTTGAAGACATATGCCAGAATTGGTATGACAAAGTGTAATGCCTTATGTGCTTTTTTGTTGGGTTTTATTTTGCTCAAGATGTTTGGTTGGTCTAGAATGTTTGTAATTGTTACCCAGTAAGTATTAAGGACACCAAAGATTGGTGCCATTTGTCTGTTCAGAGTTCATTTTAAAGCTTATGCATTGACAGGAAACTGATAAGAAACAAAACTGAATTTAATTTGTCCATTGTGTCATATAGCCCAGGACCTAATCCCCAAATGAACCCCAGTCACAAATGTTTTCTACTAGTAATAGCAGCTTCTTCTTTAGAGTGAATTTTCAAGGACATTCATTAAATATCCTTTTTTGCTCTGAACCCACCAAAATCTGTTAGTCATAAAAAATATGAGTCATAGCATAATATTCAGGAACAATTCCAATAACTCTTTTCCCTCAAAATAAGCAATGTTAGGTAATCGTTTATTTTTTTTAATTAAGGTGATTTTTTCCTAAGTAGCCAACATGAAATAGCAATGACTTAACTCTGATATGTTTCTCTGAGAAATTAAATACCAAAACTTTTACTCTAGATTGAACTTAAAAAAAAAAAGATTCCCTTTTGTGATACTCACTGGGTGCTTAGATTGATCTAACTTTCCTGACTTTTAGGAGTGATAATTGACTCTACATTTTTAAAGTAAATTATTAGTATTCAAAAGTCCCTTAAGTTGTCACAAAAGCAAGTTTGGGGATTATGTTATGAATATTTAGAAGTTATTTTGTTTTTGTTTTTGCTATTTGTTTTTGTTTTTGCTATTTCAAATCCTAGCCAAAGCAAGGGGCCTGCTGTGATTTAAATGATTTTTTAAATCATTCATATACACAGTTCACCTTTCTTATCCTAAAGCACCTTTGAGGTTGCTTGTAGTATACTTTTTATATGTTTTCTGCCTTTTTAAAAGACATTTAAAAAAGAGATCCTAGCCCGGTCACAATGAGCACACCTGGGAATAACTGAAGATAAAATGAAAACTTTTATTTTTCATATTCTTGATTGATAAAACAGGTAAGTTTGTTCAAACTAATAGCAACAATGCATTTGATTATGTATGCTTATGTGTGTGTATATATTATATATTTATATATATGGCAGTCCCCCCTTATCTACAGGGGATATATTCCAAGACCCACAGTGGACGCCTAAGAGAAAGTACCAAACCCTATATATATGGTATTTTTCTAATAGATATATACCTATGATAAAGTTTAATTTTTAAATTAAGCACAGTAAGAGATTAACAATAACTAATAGTAAAATAGAATAATTATAACACACTGTAAAAGTTATGTGAATGTGGTCAATCTTTCCCTCCTTCTCATCCTCACTCACTCCCTTGCTCCTTCCTTCAAAACATCTTACTATTTTCAGATTGCATTTGACCATAGGTAACTGAAACTGTGGAAAGCAAATCCATGTATAAGGGGCCACTACACGTTTGCTTATATATAAGTGAAACAAAGGACAACAATGATACATGGGACAAGAGGAGAGAATTAGGATTATTTTGTTATTATAAGGCACTTATGCTTCCCATGAAGTTTGATCTCTTGATTTTATTGGCGTCTGCTAGATTTCTCCACATTCAAGTTGCCATTAACCCCTTTGTAATTGACTAGCATTTTGTGGAGAGTTTTCCAATAATATATCAATGTGTTCCTCATCAAGCCTTCACCCACCAGATTTAACATCCATTGATAACTCCCATCTGCATCAAACACCTCTGTGATAGGGCCAAATGGTAATTTTCTATTTCTTGTATTCCTTCTTCATTTATCAGATGGTAAGGAATGTCATTCCCTTTTCCCTCATTTATCTATTTATTTGTAATATAAGGACTCATTTACTCCTGTTTTAGTCACAGGGTGGTAATCCATTATTATCATCAAGTTGTCAATTTAGCCAGTGGGAGCCCCATCAGGCTGCCTCCTTTGTCTTTTCAAGGTACCCCATCATTCGTTGAGCACTTCCTTACTTCTTGGCACAAAGAAAGTCTTCCTGGCTCATTTCATACTTTCTCTGACCCAGCTCTGGAATCAGCCTTTCTCCAAGGTTCTTGAGTTCTTGGTAGTGGAAAATAGGTAATTAGAAAACTAGATATGGGCACTCGATATGCTTAAAGCTACTGGGGTGGGTATCTTTACTTCTAGGCCCTTCCAGCAACAACAACAAAAAAAAAAAAATGCTGAAGTCACATAATTTTAATGCTGGAGCTTTGATTGCAGGGCAGTAACTAAAAAAATCTCATCAGTGAGAAAAATAAAAATAAACTAACTCTCTTTCTCCCCTCTTCCCCCCACCCCCACCCCCAGGTATGTGTAATCCTCGAAATTACAGTGACACACCTCCAACTTCAAAGAGCACGGTGGAGGAGCTGCACGAGCCCATACCTTCTCTCTTCCGGGCACTCACAGAAGGAGATACTCAGTTGAATTGGAACATTGTTTCCTTCCCTGTTGCAGAAGAACTTTCACATCATGAGAATCTAGTTTCATTTTTAGAGACTGTGAACCAGCAACACCACCAAAATGTGTCTGTTCCCAGCAATAATGTTCATGCACCTTATTCCAGTGACAAAGGTAACTGCCAACACTTGACTTTTTCTATTCTGCCCCCGCATGTGGTCTGTCCATGTGGTGGTCTATGAAACCTATGTTAAGACTATCTTTTAGAGCAGTTTTTTGGTTTTAAATTTGTAGAGTCTTATATAAATTGTAGACTTCAGTAACTCCAATCCCTGAGTAGATAAAGTGACATGATAGCATATTATTAACAGTCCTTCATACTCCTGATGATAGAGGCTATACTGTATTGGAAAATAGATAACTATTCCCAATTCTAGTATTTATTTGTTTCAGGCTTTAATTATTTTCATAAGATAGCAACATTGCTACCTCTTTAAAACACTGTTGCTCACTGTCAAATAACACTCAGAGGGCCCCATGAAGTCAGATTTTTATCATGGCATTGGTACAAAAATGATGCCATGGTCATCAGTTACATTTCTTTACTAGCAAGTTAGTATTATAGACATCTCATTTTCAGGTATAAGTTAGCTGCTGGCCAGTTCTCTGCACATGAGTGGTGTTAGTCAGGAGAATTAAATGAGAGAATGACTTATGCAAATTTGAGAAGCATATTAAAGAACATTTATTAGCAAAGATAGGGCATATCATAATTTTGGAATGTAAAGGGCATGTAACTTTTATAATATCACTGATATTTTTCAATAAGAGATACCACAAATTGTTACTATGGAAGACTAAAGCAATTATGAAAATTATAGTTTTTGTTAAAATATGAGATGAATTATGTATAAATAGTATAATTTATTACAATATTGCCCGTGTAAAGTAGTCTGAACTTTGGACATTAATAGTAAAATCAAAACAACTTTTGTTAAATCACATTCAGAGTAAGACTTCTTTCTTTTTTTTTTTGAGACAGGATCTCACTCTGTTGCCTGGGCTAGAGTACAGTGGTGTCATCATAACTCACGGCAACCTCAGACTCCTGGGTTAGGTGGTACTACAGATGTGTACCACCACACCTGGCTAATTTTCCATTTTTTGTAGAGTTGAGGTCTCGCTCTTGCTCAGGCTGGTCTTATAGACTTGGGATTATAGGCTTGAGAATTCTTATTTCCTTTTAGGTTAAAGTACTTTATAAAACAAATGCTAGATTTTAGAAAACATCAGAAATATTTATGGAATGTAATAATAACAAGATGTTTTGCTACCATTTTCCCTGTTAAGATGTATTAATATACATAATAGATATTAAATAATAACTCTTAAATTTTGCTCGAAGATTATTTTAAATAAGATAATATAATTATTTCATGAAATCATTTGCAGAAAGCTAATTCCTGGAAATACCAGCTATCTTCAAGACAGAGCTAAAGTTTTTCCTCCATGACACTTTCCCTGGGCACCTCTTCCCCCAGATAGAGTTGGCCACTTCCTACTCCTCCTCCTGCATGTGCAGTTCTTTTTGTTGTCTATTTTTAACTTATAGGTCTACCATTTTCTGCTTAGTTCCTTGGATTCTCTGATTACTCTTCAAGTTCCTAATGGCTATTTCATAGTAGCTGTTCAATAAATATTTGTTTATTGAACCATACTGATCACTTGACAATTGGAGTGCCTTCACGTCCTGCTTCCCACCAGCCCCTTGGCCTGCCTGGGATCATGCTATGCTGGCCTTCTGAGTTTCCTCTTTAAGCCAGGGGTGGTTCCTCATCTCGTGATACCCACCATCCACTACAGTCTACCGGTGGGCTTGCCTCCACTCTGTCCCCGTGCACACTCTGCCCGTCTCCCTAGGACTGTCTTCACTTTGCTGCCTAGTAGCTTTTATTCTTCTTCCTAATTCAAGTCCAGTTTTTTCATTAAACCTTTTCTTACTATTCAGACCACCCTCTGATGATTTATCAGTTCTATAAATGGCTTTGTAAAACTAACTGAGCCTTTGGTCATAAATTCTCTTTTAATGGTTATTATTGCTCTTTATTTATTTCATGCAATTATCTTCTTAGCTAGTCATATGGGGTTAAGTGCCAGGAAAATTTGATTGTTTTAATTTGAAACAACTGAAACAATCAAAAGTGGTTGTCTTGTTGGAAAGCAAGACTAGAAATCACTACTACTAATAGTAAGAATATTTTCTAATAGCTAATGCTTATTTGTGCCAAGCATTGCTAATCACTTTACATCATCTGAATTACGTCGTTGTTTTATTTTATTGTAAATTGTCAGTTTAACTCTAGAACAGTATGTTTGAAACATCTTTTGGATGGATAATTCTCTCTGCATAGGAAATTCTATCAGAAATGCCTGGTTTAAAAAGCATAGCTCTATAGTATAGCAAATGTTTTTAAGCCCAATAATTTAACCTTTAGGTCTGAAATCTGCAAAAAGAGGGTAAGGAAGCCTTTTGCCTTCTTTAGATGGAGTGAGAGAACCTGGCTTCCTTCTCAGCATAATTAATAAATGAAGATTTTTTTTCCCCTATACCTTATCTTTGCCCTGTGCCGACCAGAGAACTATTAATAATACTGAGGCCGGGTGCGGTGGCTCACGCCTATAATCCTAGCACTCTGGGAGGCCAAGGCGGGCGGATTGCTCGAGGTCAGGAGTTCGAAACCAGCCTGAGCAAGAGCGAGACCCTGTCTCTACCATAAATAGAAAGAAATTAATTGGCCAACTAATATATATAGAAAAAAATTAGGTGGGCATGGTGGCGCATGCCTGTAGTCCTACCTATTTGGGAGGCTGAGGCAGCAGGATTGCTTGAGCCCAGGAGTTTGAGGTTGCTGTGAGCTAGGCTGATACCACGGCACTCACTCTAGCCTGGGCAACAAAGCGAGACTCTGTCTCAAAAAATAATAATAATAACTGATATTAACTATAAATAATATTAACCAACTGTTAATAATATTCAACTGAGTAGCCAGGTACAGTGGCACATACCTGTAGTCCCAGTTACCCAAGAGGGCTGAGGTGGCCGGAACACTTGAGCCTAGGAGCTTGAAGCTGCAGTGAGCTATGATTGCACCTATGAATAGCCAATGCACTCTGGCCTGGACAACATAGCAAGATGCCCATCTCTAAAAAGTAAATAAGTAAATAAATAAATAAAAATAGTATTCAATTGAATATTAAAGCAGTTCCTGTTTTTCTTCTTTCTTGCTCTGAAATCTTAAATTTTTATTTTTCAGAACACATGTGTACTGTGGTTTATTTTGATGACTGCATGTCCATCCATCAGTGTAAGATATCCTGTGAGTCCATGGGAGCATCCAAATATCGCTGGTTTCATAATGCCTGCTGCGAGTGCATTGGTCCTGAGTGTATCGACTATGGTAGTAAGACTGTCAAGTGTATGAACTGCATGTTTTAAAGATGGAAAAGAAATGCAAACCAAAGCCGTTTAGTAAAAAAGAAGGTATGAAAATTATTCAGTAAGTCTGTTGGTTGCATCAGAATGCCAGCAAGTTAAGAAGATGTAAAGAATTTAGAATGAGTTGCTTTTAAGGTTATGACATATGCAATAATGTGTTAAATTATGTGATCATTAACTGCTCTTATTGACTTTACTGCCCACTGGCAATAAACCCTTTCCTTTGAGTACATATACAGCTTTGGTCATAGAAGCAGGTGCACAGAGCATTCCTTGAAAGGTCTGAGATTTTCAACATAAAGCCTAATGCTGTTTTCTTCTAGCATTCCAAAAGCTTTTTGTTTTGAAAGTATTAGCAGAAGCATGTTAATGTGAGTTATAATTTCTTCGTGTGCTACTCCTAGGACACTGAGTATTTGTAGTTGCACACCATTCTTCACTGTGCCTTGTATTGTTTATTTTATATAAATAAAGTAGATATGCAAATATATCACTCTAAGAATTCACATAAAAATCACCACAAAAAGCTTAATTTCAAACCTTTTTAAGTGAGTTTTAGAAAGTAAATGCTTACTGTATTTTATCATTGAAAACTCTTGCCAGTAGTATCCATCATGTAATACACATGTTGACAGAGCTTTAGGGAAAGTTTCTCATTCTTTTCCATCCTCCCTACCCAAAATGCTGACACAGGCAGTGACGAAGAATCCTTACCAAGGATTTCAGGGTACACCTTTGAAATTGCATTAAATACACCGCGAGGGTAAATAGCAAGCTACAGCATTCCTTTGACTTAAGGTACCAGCTTAAAGAGCACTCAGGGGAACAAATGCCAAATCAGACTCACGTAGAGCACCAGGGAAATAGCTTGTCCCCTTGTAGGGAAATGGCATCAGTGAGCGGTCGGGCTGTGCTGGAGGCAAGACAGCAGCGCTCCCAGCATGTGGGGGCTGGGGAGGACTTGAAGAAGAGAATTTACGGGTATGAACAGGGAAGGGTGGAGTCTTTCATTTGTTAAGTTCACGTCTGATCTAATGTTCTTATTAAACAAGTATAATCATATGGTGGGGGTTAAGATTATGGAATTTCAAAATCACTGTTCAAGATGACGTTCACTCCGAATACACTACAGAATATTTAGTCGGCTTTTTATATAATGTTTCAATAAAGATAAGCTTAAATACTATGTGCCCTTCATAGTAATAAAATCCCAATTTTCAAGCATGAATTTAAAACCTAAATATTTATATTACAGAGACTCTTAACATTACAGAATTACTAATTTCTCTAGTGCATATTTGAATTACAAGTAACTTTCTAGGAATACCTCTTTATACATCTACATATTTTAGTATATAGAAATAGATAATACTCTTGGATACATTTTGTACTCATCTGAACAGTAGGTAATTAAAAGATCATTTGTAATATTATGATTAACTATTATAAAATGTAAAGTGTTAATACCTTTTCTGTTCTTTCAGATAATTCTAATGAATATTCAAGGTACTTTAGCCTTTTAAAAAGTTGAGATTTAACTCATGGGTGTATTTTTTTGGTAGGAGAATATTGGAGTACCCTTTTCTTACTTTTACCTAGAATGCCTCTGTTTAAAAGTGCCTTAAAAGCATTGTAGCTCCCCTTCTCCACTAATACCTATAAAGCTGAGAGTTTTCTTGAACTTTAGAGAGAGAAAGCTTTAAAGGAATTGGTAGCCAACTGCTATATCTCAACTTTGCTGTTTTTCAAAGTAATTTCCTACCTATGAATGGAGGAATGCTTTCATTTTTATTGGCAACATGCTTAATGTTTTCTTAATGATGACAACAAACATTTTTAAACTGCATTTATCACCTTTTTTAGATCTTCATTATTAAATTTTAAAATGTAATATCTCTTTCCCACACATTACATTGGGAGGATAATTTCCTAAACCACATGTGCAGTTTGGACTGATTTTTCTTACCTCTGTTTCTTCCATTAGAAATTATCCCTAAATGTAATGGTCTTTTATATTCAAATTTTGCTTAATTTTTCTGATTTATGAAGGAGTTGAAAGAGTTTACCTAAAAGATTCCATTTCTAGTTTTATAATGTATTTCAGGTTTTGAATAACAATATTTTTCCAAATTGAAAGTGTAACATTTGAGAAGCCAGTAGCCTTGCTAAAATTTTGATACTCTATTACCATCCTATTACTATTTGCTTCTATTAGAAGCTTTGGTAAAATTTGTTTTCTTTTTTAATCAAAAACTCAAGTATCTTTTTTATTACCAGATAAAAAAGACACTAGATTTCAAATTGGTGAATATTGTAAAAGCCATTATAAAAGGTCCTTCCCTATAGTAAAATATGTGCTGGCTAGCAGGTTTTTCTGGTGGTTATTTTTCCCCTATAACATTTAATTATTACTAAAACTGTACTCATAACAATGGTACCAAATCAAATGATAATTCAAATAAAATCTAGTTTTTGTTTACATAGGATGGTATAAAAGAGAGGTCTTCATTTAGAAATATGATTTCTAAAGTTTCAGAAAACAAAATTGATAAGATGTTAGAATATTTGTTAGAATACAATTATTTATAAATCAGAGTAGCATCAAAGTGGAGAAAAGACACTGAAACCTCTCTGAAAAATTAGATAAATAAAAATAAGCCACATTTAAAACATTTGTTTTTATGAAAGCTTCTTTAAAGATTTTTAAAATCTATTTTGCATTCCCAAGAATCTGTTTATTGTATTTCACATGATCTACAACATATAAAATTGTGTATTTTTCTTTGTCCCTATAAACAAAAACTATTTTAATAAAACATTGAAAATGAGTATGAGTCATGTGTTTTGTTAATTTCAGCATAGAGCACCAAAACGAGTGTGACATCTCTGTCTGGTAAAGTTAGTGTTTAAGGAATCTTTTCTCTCTGGATGTCCTACAGATGCTGTTGGAACAAGGACAGTTTGCTGTCTGCTTTTTCATAGACTTTATTCCAAGATAGGGGAGCCTTTGAAACGAACACTCAGGCCTTAGGATGCCCACCAGCTTTACAGGAACCGTGTAATAGTTGGAAGGAGTTACAGAGAGATCGAGGTAGGAGAATAACTTTCCTAGGTCTCCCACTGTGATTCTCACAGGATAACGTTACTGCTGGGATTGAGAGCTGCAGGCTGTGCTGTCGTGGAAAAATCCACATCATTTCACAGAATCCACATTTCGATGGCCTGTGAGTGGCAGATGTAGAGAGGGGAGAATTCAAGAGAAGCTGAGGAATTTGAGAGTTTCAAGGAAAGAGAGAACATTTGACTAGGAAAGTTGTTCTTTTGCTGCAGGTGTCCAAATGGCAGCTGGTCACGTAGGGAGTCAGAAGAGGGTACAGCTGGGACGCAGAGCTGGGGAACACCTTGAAGTCTGGGCAGGTGGGAGCCAGCAAGACAGCAGGGCCGGTGCCCGGTGCCCGTAGTGTCTCTGGCCCCTCCAGGCGGCTCCGAACCTGCACGCTTTGAGTTCAGTAGCAAGGCAGACATCATCTCTGACTTGTGGTGAAGGGATTATGGCTCTTCTACTTTCTAGCATTTTCTAACGAATAAAAAGTAAGTTTGTTTTGCCTCCCTCCTCTTGTGTTAGAGCCTGTGCGTGAGGTGTGGGCTCAGCACCAACTCCCAGGTTCTGCTTCTGAGAAGGGAGATCTCTGCCCTCTCCCAGCAGTGCTGGGGAGCGGGGAGCCTGTGCTGTGACTCAGAATGACGCCTGGGAAGGACAGCGGCCCGTCCCCCTGCGCTCCCCCCACGCCGCCAGAGTGGCAGAAATTCCCTCCTTGGGCTGAAGGAAGCCACTGAAGCCAGACACGGCCACAGCGAAATATCTTTACACAAAACTGTGTGTCCTGCCCTTCTGCCATCACGCCGCAGCAGTGGGTCTTTCTCAGACACGCGTGCGCTGGTCGAGGCTCCCACCCCAGCTCCGGCAGGCAGTAAGGCCAGCTGCGCCCCCGCCTCAGCGGGGTTTGGGTTCCCCACTAGGAAGTCAGAGCAGGGCAGACAACCTGCCTTGTTTTCTAGAAGGCTCCCTGGCTCTGGGGTGTCCTGCTGGGGTGGGAGGGAGAGAGAGTAAGGCCTTTGAAGCCCTGAGAGAGGAGCCAAGAGGAGCCTGGGAGGGCGGACCGGGCGTGGGCCTCAGACTGAGGGGGCCAGAGCTCTGGCCCAGCTCCCTGGTCTGTAGCTGCCCCTTTCTAGGGGTCTCCACTCAGGAACATCAGCAGCCCAGGCCTCACCGTCCAGGACCCCTGAACTTGCCTCCAGGATTTTGTGAATCCCAAGATGGGTGACAGAGCCTCTCTCCCAGCCAACATGGATGGGATGGAGCTCAGAGTCCAATTTTGTTTGACTTAAAACAATGAGGTGTTTTGTGCAGCCCTGTGTTTGTAGAGTGCATTTGTGTCACCAGCCTCCTGCGTGCATACCCTCAGCCAACGTGTCCACCTCCTGTCTCTCGCACCCCTTCTCTCCACAGCCACCATCGCTGGCTTCTCCCTCACAGCAGGGCTCATTCCCCCCGCTCCACCCTCAGCCTCTCTCAGGAATTGTTTCCGCAGCTGGGGCCGCTTTTTATGCACATTGTGGCTCCTTGCTCTGATTCGGGTCTCAGCCTGAGGCCACTTCTTCAGAGCGGTCGTCTCTGACCACCAAGCCCCTTCCCACTGTCCCCATCCTGTCACCCTGCCCTCTCTCTTTAACAGCACTTGTAGGTCACTTGTTTACTGTCTGTTCTCCTCACTTGCTGTTGTTTATCACAAAAGCTCTCAGCGCAGCTCCCCAGCGCCTCACGCTCTGACCACAGGGACGCTTTAAGCAGCGGCTCTTCAGTGCCCTCAGAGAAGTCCTAACCGCGCAGCGCCCACAGCCAGGCCCACTCAGCGGTGCAGGCTGCGGGCCCACCCTGCCCCGGGCGTGCTGCTGCATCAGCCTGGGGCCCTCGTCTCCGGCGCCCGCCCCTTCCCTTCCCTGAGACACACTGGGGCATCCCTCAGCAGCACCTTCACCTGGTCGTCACCCTGCTCAGGAGGTGGCCGAAACTGAATGTCCACACTTCCACTTGATGTCTAGGTTTCGAGTGGGCCATTTGCAGGAATTGCAAATGCACCTTTAGCCACGTGGCTTAGGGTATGTCGAGCCTGCTAACCCATGGGGGCTTTGGGGAGACCAGGGGACTTCTTTAGCAACCTGGCAAGGAGACCATGCATGTTGTGAATTTTTTTGGTGTCCTTGACAGCAGTTTTTGTTTGCAGAAGAGACTATTTAGAAACTAATATTCATTTTAAAAATTAATGTTCAATTTCTTTAATTATAAAATAAAAAATTTAGTTCTTCCATAAATTTTTAAAAACAGTTTACAACTATTTCTGTCTAGCAATCTAGCAGCCTAACAATCTATGTATCCAACAGTCACTGTCACAGGACCCTCATTTAGTGTTTGCTAAACACTGAGCCCTTAACTAATAAACTCACCACCAAGGTGTACCTGTTGAAAGTTCCCATACTGCACACAAACTTAGGAAGATTTCAACTTAAAATCAATTCCAATTTCTTAATTACACTTTAAATTGGAGTTACAAGGCTGCTCTCTAATAAGCCAAATCCTCTACAATATTCATATACGCCATTTGTAACACAAAAATACTAATAATAGGGTTTTGATTCTTTTATCCCAGATCCTCTAAATCATTCCAAGGTTGAAGAACAGGTTTGCCTTAAGCAATACAGTTGACTGAGATTTCTTACAACCTCAGTAAAATTAGTGCCAGAGAACTTGAAAACCAACAGAAGCCAGATTAGAGGACAAGACTTAGCCAAGAATTTAGCCAGACATGCCCCAAAACAGTCGAGGAGGGCCTGCCCCTGGGCAAATACATGTTCTTTGTGGACAACTCACTACCAAGAGGAAAATTATGCCCAGTTTTCTTCCCAAATTTGCCAATCAGTTTATTCCTGTACCCAGAGGCAGAATGAATATAAGAGAAAGGCCCGGTGGTACACTAGATGATAACCCACCCAAGAAGAAGACATCAGATTTAGGGAAAAATTGTTCTCAGGGAGTAGTCCCATGACACAAGCCCCGAAGGGCCAGGTGACACATGTGACCTGCATCTTCCCAGCTTCGCAGTCTGCACTTCCCAGCCAGGGCAATGACTGAATTGGGTTCTGCATATCTTTGGTTCTTAAGATAATGTTTTTGTCTTTTTCTCTAAATATCCTTTGATGAAATTCTCAAGTATATGAGAAGTGTCTTTTGAGGCTAGCTCATGCCTGTAATCCCAGAACTTTGGGAGGCCTATGCGGAAGAATTGCTTGAGACCAGGAGTTGGCGACCAGCCTGGGCAACATAGGGAGACCCTGTCTCTGTTTTAAAAACAAACAAAAGTCTTTTGAACATCAGATTTGAGAACTTTGAATCTTGCATGTTTTCATGTTCCAAGGATCATACTACTGTTTTAAAATGATACCATACACAATTGAGGTTATCTCAGATGTCTTTGCCTAACTAGTGGCCACAACTTTGAGGTCCTTCTGTGGAAAACTGTTGCCACTGAGGATTTCTGGGGGACTGTTCTTGGGTGTCTGTCCTGGTTGACCGCAGGCCACTTTTCCTGATCTCCCCTACCATCCCTATTTGGGCCTCTCATTTTTTAATGGCTATGGAGACCTGAAATAATTGTAGCTTAAACTAGAGTTTGTTTGTTTCCACATACATGAAATCCGAAGATATGTAGACCAGGTCTGGAATGGGGACTCCACCTTGTCACTAGGAAATAGGATATTTCCTTCCATTCCACTGTCCTCAAATTTGTCTCATGGTCTCAAGATGGCTTCTGGAGCTCCAGCCATCATATGTACTTTCCAGGAAAGAGGAAGGAGATTAGTGCAAAAAACCTACACCTCCAAGCCACGTCAGCCTTCAGGAAGCCCATCCAACAACTTCTGCTTATGTCTCATTGGTAACTACTAGTTGCAAGAGTGACAAGGAATGAGTAGCTAAATAAAATTAGGAATTCTCTTAGTAAGTAAGGAGAGAATGAAGAAGGGGAGAGTGAGAGGTGCCACACTATTTCCCCTATGCACAGGTGCCTATAGCATCCTAAATACCTCCCGTGCACGTATGTGTCCTCTGTGTTGTAATTGCGTGTGGCCTGGGCCGTACACACCCTCACCAGAAAGAGGTTGTGTGTCGTGTCCAGCTTGAAAACACTGAAGCAACCCCTGGCCCAACTAGGAAAGCTCTGGTTCTACATGGAGTTGTGGCAGATGGAGAAAGATGAGATTTCATGTTGATCCAAAGGGGCATGACTTAAAATGACCTAGGTGAAGCTAGCTAATAGCAATTTCTGAGAGGGTTGTTTTTGAAGAAGTGTCTATAAGTTGGATAACTTCAAATGTTTGTAACAGTGGCCTTTTAATTTATATAATAGAGTTTATCATTTAATAGCTAAATTTTTCTCTTTTGCTGAATTTCTCTAGAGAAGATTGATATTCTCTAGTTTCTTTATTCTATTTGAAATTGAAATAAATTATTTCTTTTAAGCCAAAAAGCCAATGGACGAGTGTGTTGAAACTTCATTAAATGGTCTGTAGTGATTTTCATTCATCCCCGACCAAGAGAGCCCAGTCCTCAGATTTTTCAATATTAAAATTATGGACCATGGACTCTTCTCTCTAGTGGCTGAAGTAGTTATGCGGGACAGAACTGTCTAGAATATTGCTGTCCAATAGAAATATAATGCAAGTCACAAATGCAAGTCATATGTAATTTTAAATTTTCTGATAGTTGTATTGATTGATTGATTGATTTGTTTGTTTGGTTGTTTTTTGTTTTTTTTTTGAGACAGAGTCTCACTTTGTTGCCCAGGCTAGAGTGAGTGCTGTGGCATCAGCCTAGCTCACAGCAACCTCAAACTCCTGGGCTCAAGCAATCCTTCTGCCTCAGCTTCCCAAGTAGCTGGGACTACAGGCATGCGCCACCATGCTCAACTAATTTTTTCTATATATATTTTTAGTTTGCCAATTAATTTCTTTCCATTTATAATATAGACAGGGTCTCGCTCTTGCTCAAGCTGGTTTCGAACTCCTGACCTTGAGCAATCCACCCAACTCGGCCTCCCAGAGTGCTAGGATTACAGGCGTGAGCCACTGCGCCCGCCCTGATAGTTGCATTTAAAAAGTGAACAGACCAGGCACAGTAGCTCACACCTGTAATCCTAGCACTTTGGGAGGCCACAGCGGGAGGATTGCTTGAGGCCAAGAGTTCAAGACCAGCCTGGGCAACATAGTGACACCCCATCTCCACAAAAAATAAAAACTCTAGCTGGGTATGGTGGCATGTGCCTGTATTCCCAGCTGTGGGGAGGCTGAGGCAGGAGGATGGCTTGAGCCCAGAGTTGGAGGCGATCATGGGCTATGATCTTGCCACTGCACTCCAGCTGTCACTCTGGGCACAAGCAAGAGCCCATCTCTAAAAAGAGTAAAAAGGAACGGGTAAAATTAATTTCAACAATATATTTTCTTAAACCTTTATTTCTATATATGTTTTCTTTAACCTTTCTTTTTTTCTTTAACCTTTTAACAGGTAAAATTAATTTCAATAATATATTTTCTTAAACCTATATTTCTAAATATATTTTCTTTAACCTTTCTTTTTTTCTTTAACCTTTTAACGGGTAAAATTAATTTCAATAATATATTTTCTTTAATCCAAATTAACATGTCAATGTGTATTTCATATAAAAAATTAATGATATATTTGACACTTACTTTTGATATTAAGCCTTTGAAACGTGGTATACATTTTACAAAACATCCCAATTTGGACTAGCCACATTTCAAGTGTTCAAAAGCCACTCAATTTGGTGAGCTCAAGCAAAGGAAAAAGTGGGAAGAGGGCCCATATACTCGAAAAGCTTAGGGAGGCCGTGGGACGGCCAAACACAGGAAGTGCAGGAAGCGGTCTCCTTGCGGGCAGCCTCGCGTGCTCTGCGCTGGCCGGTCCCGGGAGCCCACCCCACGCCAGCGCCGTGTCCCCAGGAGGCAGCCCCAGCACGGGAGAGCACCCCTGCACGGGAGAGCACCCCTGCACACAGCTCCGGAAGTCCCAGTCCTCCGGACCAGGTGGACACAGCGGGAGAGCGGTGGGTCCCCACGGGAAATACGGAGGTTACCAGAAGAAGCACAAGTGAAAACTAAAGGTCTTTACTAGGTACGCTTCAGAAAATGCGCCAGCTCTCTTAAGTGTTCTCTTTACAAACTCACTTTTATACAAGCCAGACTTCAGAATAACTGGAAATCCACGTGAAAAAATATCTAAATACTTGTATTTTTCATTTGAGGCCTGGCAGTTTTTTTTCCTGCCCTGACATGTTAAAAATTTGTTCTAATGAATCTAGTAAATCAGTCAAGAAGTATTCTTTTACCTAAAGGATAAAAAGAACATCTATGAAGGCCAATTTGAATCTCAAGTATGTGACATATTTTCTGAGGATAAAAAAATGTATTTTGAGTTTTAATGAAGAGCATTACAAATATCCATAAACAATGACTTATTCCTCAATTGCTACATGTTGTAATATTATTTGAAGCTATTCATAAATTGTAAGAGTAATGCAGTGATAATTGGTATAGTTTTTTATTTCCTTTATGCAGATACATACTAGGTACTAAAAGTTTATCTGGAGGCTTTGTTGGAAAAAAAGAAAAAAATAAAAATAAAAGTGGACAGCTAAAATATTTAAGAACTTGACCAGATCCAATGCTAGAGCTGCAGGGAACCCAGGAAAAAAGATGACTAATTTTTCAGTCCTCAGTGTAGAACACAAGCAATTGTGTTTAATTTCCCTTCCATTTGATGTGAGTTTAATCATGTATTATTCACTGCCTTTGGATAAAATCCAAGATCATGTTCTGTATTTTCTTAACTATTTTGAATTTGCCTTTTTTTTAAGTGGCCTTTCCCACTGGATTGTTGCCGAGATTTTCTTCTGGATACTGCTAATAGATTTCTCAGGTTTTGGTTTTTTAAAGACAATAAATTCGAGAAGTGGTAATTAAACTGTTTAAATCCATGCCTGCTGGTATTTGAGGAATAAAACATATATCGGTAGCATCAGTGTCTAGACTGGATTTGGGGTACAATTACTGACAGGAAACTGGCCATGTCTGAATGTTTACGTGTGGGACAGTTTTATTCTGAGGATCTCTCTGCATGGTAAGTGTGTGTTTATGAGTCAATGGTCAGATGAAGTGGGCAGTTGATAAGGCAGTGATGATACCCAGAGATGGTTTTGTAGTATTCATAGCTACAGGCTTTGCTAGAGTAGCATTCTGCTGCGTTTAGTTCCCAGTGCTTAAACTTTTTATTCTAGTCCACGCATGGGGCCTATTTCCACACGTTTAATACTTTTGAAGTGTCAGCCGGTGTTCAGCAGGGCTCTGTGTGTGTCGCTCCCAGGAGACCTGGGCTGTGGATTCATACTTTCCAGGGGACTTGTGTTCACTTCTGCAGCCACCTCAGTAGTTACCAACCCAGAAACCCTTGATGGTAATTTCTCAATTTGCAGGATTAAGTATAAATCAGTAGAATACATTTAGACTCCAGAATAGCATGAAGGCATGAACTTTAATGATCATGAACTTCCAGGGAGACATTCGCTTCATCCAGAGCCAGACCAACACAGTTGCTCTGTTGTCACTTTCCCTCCCAGAAAAGAGAATTATTTCCAGTCCACCCTTTTGCAAAGGATGTGGCCTTTCAAGAATCCCAGCCTCATCGGAGGTGAGAGAGGCCTCTAAGCTGCCATCTCTACCTTTCGTGGACCTATGCCTGTCTTCTGTCTTCTTGCCCGGTAAAAGCACAGTGCCTTGGGTACCGAGAGCACTCAGGCCCCCAGGGCAGGGGATCAACGGTGTCATGTTGCCTTTCAGCTTTAGCATCAGACTTTTATTTTTTTAATCTGGGGAATTTCCTTAATTTTCCACAAGCCTAGCTGTACATTAAAAAAAAGATTTGGTTATATTTTGTCAGCATTTCCTGTTATTTTTATCTGGAATTTTTTCCAGGCAATCTAGTCTGCCAAAATACTAGGGACATACGTCTAAAACTTTACTTTTCAATATAAACACATACATATTAGCAATGTCAAGGATTTAGAACAGGATGGCTGAAAGGGACTGTCCTTTACTTTTATCTTGAAAACAACAGGTGGCTCATGCCTGTAATCCTAGCACTCTGGGAGGCTGAGGTGGGAGGATCATTTGAGGTCAGGAGTTCAAGACCAGCCTGAGCAAGAGTGTGAGACCCTGTCTCTACTAAAAATGGAAAAATTAGTTGGGCATGGTGGCGCATGCCTGTAGTCTCAGCTACACAGGAGGCTGAGGCAGGAGGATCCTTTGAGCCCAGGAGTGGAGGTTGCAGTGAGCTGTGATGATGCCACAGCGCTCTAGCCAGGGCAACAGAGCAAGACTCTGACTCAAAAAAAAAAAAAAAGGAAATAATAAAGAAAAGAAAAGGATGGCATCAAGAATCCTGTTGTGTAGTAGACATTAACTGGAGTAACTTCCTTCTCACTATGACCTCTCAGTGTCCTGTTCTGTGATGTAATAAACATGCATTCCCGTCACAGATGATTGATTCTGGGGCCAAGATATCTGACCTGCACCAGGACAGCTCATCTCTGTCTCAGAAATTTGAAACGTGAAGAAAGTTACCCAGAAACCTGTCCTGTTAATGACATCACTTTGGAGAAAAGTTCTATCAATGGAATTCTCTTCTTCCCAATTAGACTCCTTCAATTCTGAAAGCTACCCCAACAAACTCCCAATTAAATGTTTTTCTTGTTTAAGAATCTATTTCTGTTGCTTGCATCTGGAAAAAGAAAACACCAACTAATACTAAATTGCTTAGAAAATACATTTTAAAACCAGGTTAGGGATATTAAAACATGCTATAAGTGCTATAGTAATTAAACCAGTGTGGTACTGGCATATAAACAGACATATCTATGATATAGAAAGTCTAGAAATAGTTCCAAATGTATAAAATGTGAAGTGGAAGATAAAGATGGTATTGTACACCAGAGGGAAATTGTATTAATAATTAATAATTAAGTAAACATGGGGACAACTGGGTAACCATCTGAAAAAGAATAAAGTTGGAACCATATGTCACACCCTGTACCAAAATAAATAAAATCAGGGATTTAAATGCAAAAAGTTAAACCACAAGAGTACCCCAAAAGAGAGAATTATTTTTTAAGCTCAATGTGGGAAAGACATTTCTAATTGCATTATAAAAATCTGAGAGCCAGTAAAGGAGAAGATTGATATATTTTACTACAAAACTAAAATTAAGTTTGGGAATGAAAAACACACCATAAACAATGAAAAAAACAAATGGGAAATTGGGAAATTTTTTCTTGATATGTCAGGAAGAAAAATAATAACAACCTGATGTTTAAAAATGGCTGAAGCATATAAATGGACTATTCAGAACAGGAAACACAGTGAACATTAAACACTTAAGAAGATTCTCTGTCTCACAATCTGAGAAATGCAATTTTAGAATGTGAACACATGAAAACATAGAGATACCATTTTTCATCTATCAAATTGACAATGATCAACATTCTTCATCTATTAAATTGACACTCATCAGAAAGTTATCAAACACCACCCTGGGGAGATTACAGGAACCCAGTTGCAGAGCACGCATGGCATGTGGGGAGAAGGGTGCATGTGGCACAGATGCGTTGACCCGGCTGTTTCATGTCTAGGAGCCATCGTTATGGCAAAGTTTTGGACTTAAATGTCCAACCATGGTAGCTGATTAAATTATATGCATGCTTACATTGGGCTACTATGGGTTGATAGGAACCATTTCTAAATATGTTAACAGAAAAACATAAGGTGCAGAACTACATATCATTTTAAAAAGAGAGAGAAAGGTATGTGCATATTTGCTTGTTTGCAAATAACATATCTGGAAGGATTCACAAGAAAACACACTGGCTGCCTCCAGGGCGGGGATAGGGGCAGAAGACTTCACTGTGCACTCCTCTGTGCCTTTCGATTTTGAGCCATGAAAATGTATTGCCTTTTCAAAAAGTAACTAAAATTTAAACTAAAGAGATATAAACAGAAGTATTTTTCCTGAAAAAAAAAAAATCAGGTAAAATGGGATCAGGTTCAATGGGAGAAAATGACAAGGAAACAGCGCCCGCCCCGTCAGCAGGGCCAGCAGAGAGGGTCCGCGGGAGCTCCAAGCAGAAGCACCTGCCGCCAGCCAGGAGAGGAGGCTGAGGACAGAGGCGCCTCCCACGGCGTCGCGGCGCCTTGGTTGTCGGTGCCCAGAAAGTGCGTTGGCAGCATGTCCAGGACCCACAGTTGGATACCAGCGTGAACGCGTGAGGGGGGGACGCCGTCTCCCTAAGTGGAGACACCCACTGCCGCCGATCCGGTTTGGGATGGAGCGTGACATAGATTCAGTTCTGAAACCCCAGTGAACAGTTTCCACACTGGATCTCATATTCAAGCAGCAAGTTTTAGGGACAGGTGATGCTGCAGTGCGTGCCTTCTCCTACCGTGGACTTACTTCTTTCTCCTCGCGGGGTTCAGGACGCAGATTCGGTCCTCGCACGCGTTTGCGCAGCTGCGCTCCAGTGTCCTCTGATCAGAACCAGTAAGAACACCCGCAAGAAACCCCAAAGCTTGGTTTTAAAATGCCATGAGAATGATTCTGAAGAATATATTTCTAATCACACGAAACACACTAACCACAGCTCGCATCTGTCCCTACAGTACGCTCTGTGAAGCTGCGGCTCTTCACGGCTTTCCTGCCCCTCACCTGCCGGCCCGCAGCAGGGCCTCCGTGACCGCCTCTGCTCGCTCTTGCCCCGCGGCCGCCAGCTCTGTAGAGTTCACACGCTCCCAGGACGGGGAGAAGAAGCGTCAGTGTGCTCATCGCAACGCGACTTGTCTGGCAGAGTGTTCACAAGTCTCTTTTGTGGGTTGCTTTGAACAGACAGACCAGGATTCTGCCCAGGGACCTTTCTGCACAAGTACGGAATGTGGCACAAAGAGCTTGTTCCTTCAACCTCTGTGGAAAGCAATACGGAGATACCTCAAAGCCATACAAGTAGATCTACCATTGGATCCAGCAATCCCACTACTGGGCATCTACCCAAAAGATCAAAGTCACTTTATGAAAAATAGACACCTGCACTCGAATGTTTATAGCAGCACAATTCACAATTGCAAAGCTATGGAAACAACCCAAGTGCCCATCAATTCATGAATGGATTAATAAAATGTGGTGTATGTATACCATGGAGTACTACTCAGCTTTAAGAAACAATGGCACCTCTTGTATATTCCTGGATAGAGCTGGAACCCATTCTACTAAGTGAAGTATCTCAAGAATGGAAAAACAAGCACCACATGTACTCACCAGCAAATTGGTATTAACGGATCAACACCTAAGTGGACATATAGAAGTAACATTTATCGGGTGTCGGGAGGGTGGGAGGGGGGCAGAGGGGATGGGTATATACAACCACAATGAATAAGATGTACAACGTATAGGGGATGGACACACTTGAAGCTCTTACTCAAAGGGGGAGGGGGTCATGGGCAATATATGTAACCTTAACACTTGTACCCCCATAATATGCTAAAATTAAAAAAAAAAAAAAAGAGCTCGTTCCAACAGGGCCCAGAACGCAGGTGGGCCATCCCTGGGGCCAGGGCTGAGTGCCAGGCATGTCACGCTCCGAGACTCCAGAAATGACTCTGACCTTTTGAAAGAACACATTGTCTTACTGATTAGGAATTGTGAATGAAATGCAGTCGGTGCAGGTGTTCAGCAGTTCCGAAGATGAAATTCAAGCGGCAGAGCCCAGCTCTGCGTGGAGGTGTGTCGGGGAAGGAGGGCCCTTCTGCTCGTGGGTCTCCTGACATCTGTGTCTTTGTCACAGACTCTCCTATTCTTGTTCTCTCTAACCTGTAAGGAAAAAGAAAAAAACCTTCCATTGAAAGTGGGGGAAAGGAGAAAATTATTTTTCATTTAATGCTTTACTCTCCCGATGATAATGGGTACCTAAAATAGATTGAAAAAATAACCACCTGTGATTTACTCGTTTTGCAAATTCAGACATTTGTGCTGGGAACCAGGAGCCATGAGGGGACAGGCCGAGTAGGCAGGGGTGGGGGCTGTTCTTCCGGTGCGGATCAGACCACGGTGGGAAGAGTGTCCCTGCCTTCTGCCAGCATGGGACGCCCCAGGTGCAGCTCCTGGGGCTCCAGCCCGCCAGGAACAGCTGTATTCCAAGGTGGGGTGTACATCCTCTTCTATCACTCGTTGTTGTGTTCGCCTGTTGTGCACATGATCTGTGCTGCTCATGGTGCTTACACCTCCAGCTCTTTCTTTCTTAAGTCCCCCCTCTCCGCCACCCCCAGCACTAAGGGGCTAAGACACAGTAGCCCAGCTGCCTTGCTAAGTGGGCCGGGACCACAGGTGTCCCAGAGCTGCTCCACCGCGTCACCTGGGCTGGGCGCAAACACAGGTGGGCCAAGGATGCTCCCCTGCGGTGTCAGCACCAGAAGTCCCCGGAGAGAAGGAAGCAGCTGGCGGTGGGAACTTAGCTGGAAGATTCTAATTGCATGGGGAGGGCCGGGGTGGCCCTGGTGGGTCCTGGGTGGGCTGAAATTGTGAAGGGAAGAAAATCTAAGTAGAAGCTATGAGAAAGAGAAAAGATACAGAAAGGAATGTGAGGAAGCTGGCCGGTCACAAGGGCAGAACAAAGCTGTCGCACAGGCTCCTATGCAGAAGCCACTAGACCTGCTGCGATTCGGGGTAACCCTCAGTCCTGACTGTTAGTGGCTTTCCCCGTGTCCTTGAGCAGGGGCTTCCTCGCATGAGCCTCTCCCTTTTTGGGAAATTTCGGTGAGTCTCTGTTCATTATAGCCAGAAAAGCTAAGGAATACAATGTTCTCCCTGGCCAGTTTTTTCTCTGTATAAATTTAACTATATACTCTTTCTTAGGAGACTGGAGCAGACTGAAATGCTGTGTTGTGACATACCTTTTTAAAGAAAACTTGACAAATCTATTGTGAGCATTCTTGTAACATCATTACAACTTGGTAAGCTCTTCTTGCAAGGTACCCGACCCTCTGGGCAGCTGTCATCACCACAGCGGAGTCCAGTTTGCTGGGTCCTCCTGAAAGCTGTCACCTGCACAGAAACCCGCCTGGCGTGCAGCGCGACTGCCCCAGGCCTGCCTCGGTGCGCTCGGCTTCCACCTGGGGTGTTTGCTGCCTTTGCAGTGGGCCTGGGTGAGCCCCGCTGCCCTCCAAACACGGTTTTCCAATGGCCGAAACGTACTGGAACTGACAAAAGAACACAAAATGAGCCACAAAAAAGCATGAAGCATAGCACAGTTCTATTTGTTCTGTGGCATTTTGAAAATAGCAAATCTGTCATCAGGATAAAAATCTGAAACAGAAACTCTGAGCACTTTGGTATAATTCACGTGAAGACGTCCCTGCAGTTGAGCCAGCTCCTGGCAGTGGTCCCCAATCTTTTTGGCATCAGGGACTATTTTCATGGAAGACAGATTTTCCACGGACCGGGGAGGGGGGACGATTCAAGTGCATTACATTTATTGTGCACTTTGTTTCTACTATTATTACATTGCAATATATAATGAAATAATTATACAACTCACCACAGGTTCAGGCCCCCCATCCTAGGGCTATCAAGAAATATGGGTGTTTCAAACAACATTGTTGTCACTTCATGCCTACAATCTTCATGCACCTGTGGCTTCACATGTCTGCTCTCAAAGCGTGTTGCAATGGCAGCTGCGGCCCGGTGTCTCAGCGTCACTCCAGCCTTGGACCCAAAGACCCTGCCGCAGGGAGCCCAGGCCCTCTGGAGCCCTGGGGCTCGGCCTCTGTGCAGACACTGTCGCTCACACTGCCACAGCCTGGCGGTGTTTCTGAGTGAGCTGTGAGCTGGCCTCTCCCCCGGCCTCCACCCTGACACTGGGCCCAGTGGATGTGGCTGATGTTGATCCTTTGCGGTATCAGAAATCCTTGCCTGGGGCAACACATTTTGAGTTGGGAGTTTCTTTTTTTTTTTTTTTTTTTGAGACAGGGTCTCACTTTGTTGCCCAGGCTAGAGTGAGTGCCGTGGCGTCAGCCTAGCTCACAGCAACCTCAAACTCCTGGGCTCAAGCAATCCTGCTGCCTCAGCCTCCTGAGTAGCTGGGACTACAGGCATGCGCCACCATGCTCGGCTAATTTTTTCTATATATATATTAGTTGCCCAATTAATTTCTTTCTATTTATAGTAGAGACGGGGTCTCGCTCTTGCTCAGGTTGGTTTCGAACTCCTGACCTCGAGCAATCCGCCTGCCTCGGCCTCCCAGAGTGCTAGGATTACAGGCGTGAGCCACCGCGCCTGGCCTGAGTTGGGAGTTTCTAAGAAATGTCCATTGCATTTTGAACTCTAGCTGTTCATCCGTGGTTGTCAAGAAGTCACCATTTTTTGCTTTGCCTGACAACACATGCCGCCTCCGAGATTCAACTCCACCAGCGAGACGAAGCTGCTGACTCCCGGGTCGCTGTCTGGCTGTGCAAGTCAGTAGGGTCACGTGCCGTGGCACCTGCTACCTGTGGCATGCAGTTTACTCTGGTGCTCAGCCCTTGCTCCTGTCCTGTCTCCTTTCAGAGTTTCTCCATGGTTGTGCCCAAGACTGGAGACAGTGAAGAAATACGAAGGAGCACTGCTGGCATTGTTCTGCTGCAACGGGCCTTAGGCCCCGGCAGGAAAGAGAGAAGAAAAGGGGAGCTGCTCCCTTCTCACAGTGTCCCCGCTGGAGTTACCTGTTGGCCAAAAGCACTTACATGTTTCACCTCCTGGTAGTTACACAGGTCACACCACTGTCAACTCACCAGGCTGGACGCTTCATACCTGTGCATTTTGTTGTGTATTCATCATGTCTTAACATCTTTTCTCAATAAAAATTTCAACCAGAAAGCAACACTAGCTCCGTTAGTTGGCACTGTGATATTGGGTGTGGATGCGGAGTTTAGGCCTTTCCCACGGACCCTCCGAGTGGCAGGGACCACGCGTGGCCAGGCCCCCCCTCCCTCCCCGCCCAGCAGCTGGTGGGTCCTTCTGCCTCTGTTCTTGGCATTTTCGCTCCATCGTCTCATGGCCACCCAGGTGGCCTTTGTAAAAGCAAGCATTTTCATATTAGTCCTTGCTTAGCCACTCTGCTGCGGCGCTCACCGGCCGCGACACCTGGCCCGCAGCCGGCACGCACGGTCCGCACGGTGGTGTGTGCGGCGCATCGACTGCGGGTCTGTCTTGCTTTCGTGTGATGAGGAAAGCTTGAAAGCACTGAACGCTTGTTCTACTTTACAGGCAGCTTTACTTGTCATGTCAATCAGAATAGGTAACATACATATATGTTTTCATTACGTTATTTTTAAATGTTCACAATTTTATTTTGATAAGTGAAAAATTAGAAAGGTCATGTCGCGGCTGTCGGCTAAAGTCGCTGTGTGTGTTCATGTGTGGCTGTCGGCTATAGTCAACGCTGGTCCCGAAACGGTGGAAAGCAATCCTTAGTCCATTCTCACCTCCTCCCTAGAGGCTAAGGTCCACGCTGGTCTCAGGGAGGCAAGCCCTCCCGTGAGTGGCCCCTGCCACCTCGCGACGTCTCTCCCGCCACTGCTGGACTCCCTTTCATGCTCCAGAATTACAACTGCATGTAATTCCCCACACACCGGTGTATCCTTCCCCTATGCCTGAAATGCCCTTTGCAAAGTTCCTAAATTAAAAATGGTACCAGGACAAACACATACCATGCTCATGGGCTTCCAAAACAGTGGTCAAATTTTAAACATTCACATTAGATGGGGACATTTACCTGGTTTTGTACTTGACCAGCTGTGCTGGGAGGAGGGAAGCCTGAGCTTGGGCCAGACCATCATTTCAGTCCTAGCTTTGCTCTTTAATGATTGCAGATCCTTGGGCTGGTCACTCGGGATGTCTCGATCTCGTTTACTTTATATAAAACAAGGGTTACAAATACTCACCTCGGAGGAGGAGCGTGTGGAGTGTCGGGTGTAGGTGCCTTGCGAATGCCGCAGCTCCGCACGGACGCGCCCTGAGCACACGGCAACCTGCGTGCAGAGAGCGGACCAGATCAGAGTTGTGGGGTCTTGGCAGTGTCTCACCGGGTGGGTGTGTTTGAGAATTATTGGGGTTTCGCAACATCCCCGATAAAGATAGGGTCCCCGGGCAGAATGCATTGCAAGAGATGAAAGAAACAGACGCAGACACAGGAATAATATTAAGAGTGTGGGGAATCAGGGGACCACCAGCACTCTGGTGCCAAGGTGGTGGCGACTGAAACCCAGCGCTTGCTCTTTATTATTCTCTTTGCCATGCTGCAAAACACAATGACCTCACGTGTCTCATGTGAAAAAATCACGGGATACAATGGACAAAAGTCTCGGGGCTCCCCCCAAATCACAAGGTGTCCTAGCTAATTACTCTCTCCTTTCTAGAAGTGAAAACACATAATTCTTCAGTAGGTACAAACCTGTCCCAAGGTAAACTAACTTTATCGCAAGCACATGCCATGTACGTAGATAGCAATCTTTACCTTCCGTAGCGATGACCCATTTGATCAAGGAACAAAGAAACTACATGCTTCCCACGGGGGACTGGTTCTACGCTGACTGAGGCCTTGCTGAGCGAAAGGGGGAGAAGGAGCGGGCCCGTGTTCTGACAATGGAAGCCTCGAGACCCTTCTCCCGCGCTGACAGCCTGCAACCTACTCTACAGCCGTGAGCGGTTTCCACGTCGGGCCGCCTGCGGCTTTTCAGGCATGAGACCCCTCAGGCCCTGAGGCTGGAGCCTGCTTTGCTGAACTCCCAGATCGCTGACATCTGTCCCCAACTAGGCAGTTAACATCTGCCCTTATTCCAGGCTTCTGCTCGGGCAAGTCCTTCACCTCCTCCCCTCTCACAGCCTCAGGCGTAGCAGCCCTAAGTCCCAGGGCTCTTACTCCCATTGGAGACGGTCTTGAATTCTAGGAAGAATTTTCTATGGTCAGCTCTGGCATGTCAAACACACTATTGGCGGCCCCATCAAACACCATAAGGATTCCTTCTCCAGGGCAGAGTTAAGAGCGCTGAGCAGCTGCTCTCAATTATGGCAATGACGCACGTAACACGGGCACATGTGCTCCCATGAGGACAGGCCGCGCGGGGAGGATTTAGCAGACACAGCGCTGCGGGCAGAGTGTGGACGCAGGAGAACCACATTCTAAACTCGTCTCTGCCATGAGCCTGGCCTCCCTGCCTCTCAGGGCTCGTCTAGATTAGTGCTAAGGTCCCTTCCAGTTCTTACATTCTATGTATGGCCGAGTGGTACAAAGTAGTGCTTTAAAAACTGAGTTTTGCGTCGCGTTGATTTTCAGATAGCTCCGGGGTCAAACAACCCACCAATATTACTTGATCCACAGTATGCTAGGTCCAGAGTCCAATCATGCCATTCTCACCAAAGGTGGCGATTGATCACCACCAATGCTACACAGTGATCTCACAGTCTATCTAAAACCTCTAGATGTTACAGACAACACAAAATTCACGAGATATAAAGAAAAGTTAGTAAAAAGTAAGTCATGCTGCTTCCCTCTTCTCCTCCCCACCAGAGGCAATGACTAGTTTCTAACCATTTTTTGTTTGTTTGTTTAAGAGACAGAGTCTCACTCTGTTGCCCAGGCTGGAGTGCCGTGGCATCTTAGCTCAGTGCAGCCTCCAACTCCTGGCCTCAAGCGATCTACTCCCTTGGCCTTTCAAAGAGCTGGGATTATAGGTATGAGCCACCACACCTGGCCTGTACTACTTGTTCTTTAATATAATCATTTAAGTATTAACCTACGAAATGATATGGTGTCCGGGACTTGCTTTCTAACACTCCAGCAGCAGGAGTGGGAGCTGAGCCAGGATCGGCCGTGAACTGATAATTGTGGAAGCTGGGTCTTGGGCACGTGCGGCCTCCATTTCCTTGCCTTTTCCAGCTGCCAGTAGCTACTACCTTCCTTGGCTCATGGCCCCTTTCTCTGCCTTCAAAGAGCATCGCTCCAATCTCTGCATCCTTCCTCACATCATCTTCTCCTAGAACCCTGACAATCCCTTCATCCCTCTCAGAAGGACTGTTGTGATCACACTGGGTCCACTCCATTAATCCAGGATAATCTCCCCATCTCAAGACTCAAAATTTAAAGACATCCGCAAAGTGTCTTTTGCATACAAGGTCCTATTCCAGGAGATTCGGATGTGGACATCGTTGGGAGCCAGCACTGAGCCAAGCACACCAGCCACAGCGCGACACCGCTGGGAGCTCCTCGCTGGGGGTCCAGCCTGAGTCTCGCTTCTTAAACTGACAGCCGTGTGCCCGGGCACATGGCACGAGCCAGGCAGTTCTCCAGGTCATGGGAAGAACATGGAGTAGTTCTTCTTGTCTTTATTTCATGAGAAGTGATTTAAGGCATTGTAATATTTAAATAAACATGAGTACATTATAGAATAGAATGCAAAATTCTCATGAATTTTAAAAATAAAAATGTAAGTCTTCAAAAATATGTTTCTGCTGTTGGTGAGGTTGTTCAGGCCTGGTCCCTAGACCCTTAGGTTGTCGACTGTCTTGTGCCATGGGAAACGCTCAGGGGAAGAGATTGGGAGGCCCGGGGTCCAGTGGTAGATGAGGAGATGGAAGCCCAACGGCCAACAGCTTCTTAAAAGCACAGAGAGGCAGACAAGGGCTGGCAGCGGCTCCCCCAGCTCACGGTAGTTGGCTGTATGTTCGCTCCAGAAACCCCAGCTCAGCGGCTGCCACACAGCAGAGGAGGCAGGAGAGACAGAAAGAGCAACCGGGGGCCAACTGCCTGATGCGTGTCACCACCCCTTCTGGTGGGGCTTCCCGGGTACCACCTGTCTAGGACTTCTCTGATGGTGGGATAGGCATGTTCTCTCCAGGGGAAATGGGTAGGAATTTTGGGCAATTTGCCCACCTGCTAAATATTTGACTCAGTTTCCCTTGAAAGAAGATTGGCAGGATTGTGATGGGACAAACATTTGCATGTTTTCAGGCCTTTGGATGGCAAAGCAATTAGTACTGGTTATTTAAAAGCAGTAGGTTGTAATCTAATACTTATTTTCCTTTCGAAGACCATGTTTTTCAGAATGTGACTCACTTGAGAAAGTAGGAAATCTACACTGGGGGCCTCCTTCTTCCTTTCTCTCTCCTCCCCAGATGCTTCTAGACTCTCTCTGCTCTTCCCTAACGCAGTAATCCTCAACTAAGGGAGTAAAATCCTCTTTTTGGAATGAGCTATGTCGAATGCCTTTAGAAGGTAAAATATAGACATGTAGATTGTGCCGTGACAGCATGAATCACAAATCGATGCAAGCCCCGGCCAGTGTCACCACTCCCCATGACGCATGACACGTTGCCTGGACACGGTTATCGTTGTTGTTTAATCTAACATTACCGGCACCAGTGCGTTGTGCGAGTCAGAGAACTGTGTGCGCTGGTGACCTGTGTGCCCCGGAGAGCTGAGCAGGGGCGAGCTGCCCCAAGCCAGGTGGGCTGCCCACGCCTGCTTTGCCTGTCCACACTGAGCCTGTCTCTCGGCCACGCACAGCTGCAGGGGCCGGAATGCTGTGTCTTCATTTCATTTCAGTGAGCTTCTGACTGTCAGTGCTTTGGGAATATTTCACTCCCTTAAAAAGATTCCACATGTCTCCAGGCAGGATCTGTACCCTTTTGTGTGCCCAATGAAAGACACACAGAGAACAATGATTCTCGGGAACAGATAGCCAAAAATATCCAAAACCTGGTACCAAAATGTGTAGGGCAATTACTATTGACCAATGCCAATCACACACCATGGGAGTTGAGAAGCCCTTAAGTCAGGCATCCTTTCGTGTTGCAAATTTGTGGAATAAGAAATAGAAACTCAAATTTGACAGCTGGAAAATTACGGAAAACTTGGACATTGGCAAATGGCAAAATATAATGTTGGAAGTAGGAGTACAAAAGTTTTAACACACTCCCTTGTTTAATAGTATAACCCATGTCAGGATTCATGATGTCCCCACAGCTAAGCTGCCACCAAGGGATCTGTGAAGCAGCAAACACACTGAAATGTTTAACGCAAAACCACATTTGCATGCAGAACACAGGAACATGCTCTAAACAAAGGCCAGTCCCCTGGGGACATCTTTTAACTCAGGAACACAAAACAACGTGGGCACTTGGAGCAAGTAAGGACAAACTGCAAGATGGCAAACAGCTCAAAGAAAGCAGATCTTTCTATTTTAGAAGTTTCTGTCTCTAAATATGTTGTACTCTTTTTCCATTCTTAGTCCAGGGAATTGGGCCGTCTCTATTGCCACCACCCCAGGGCCACTATTAGAACCAACAGTTCACTAGTGGCAGGTGTGAAGCTATAATGTCTAGTCCCTCTTTAGGCAAATTGGGTTAGGTCTCATTTGTCTTAACTCTCTCCATGTAAGTAGCACATAAACAGATATTTATTTTGGCAAAGTCAGATACAATTCATGACAATATTAAAAGTGTCAAATTTGCAAATCACTACTTTAGGCTCTTTTTAAATGGCTAAACTGGTTTTATTCATAAAAAGGTTAGTTGTTTTATATGCACTTGATGCCACTAAATTACCAGGTGCAAGTGCAATATTTACGTTCTAGGTTCACACTCCTTAAGTAACACTTTTCATTTCTTTTTTTCAAATGTTGCCATACAGGTTGAACATCTCTAATCTGAAAATACACATTCAGAAACCCAAAACATTTTGAGCACCAACATGACACCACAAATGGAAAATTCCACACCTGACCTCCATGTGACAGGTCACAGTCAAAACACAGGCGTCTGCTTCATGTCCTGGAGGGAAAAACAAACAAAAAAGGCTCGGGCGGGTAACACCCAGTTTATTCAGCATTCCCAAGGAAAAAGACCCTCCCAGCTCCCTTCAGCTGTGATATATCTTTTTTTTTATTATTATTCATCTTTTTGTAGAGACAGGGTCCAAAATGCCTGGCTTTCCAAGTACCTGGGACTATAGGTGTGTGCCACTGCACTTGGTCATGTTTGCTATTTTATGAAAACTGTGACAATGTTCCATATTCTAACACACAGCTTGGACTGCAAGGATGCCTTCGTGGGCGGCCTGAGCCGGTCCCAGATCAGTCGCAGCCTCCTGCCCTCCGCCAGCCGCATTGCGACTGTGAGCAGGTGCCTCTCGCCCCTGTGGAGCTTTGCAGACCCTCACGGCCTGACTACGCTGACCTTAGAGACGTCATATGCGAAGTGGCTCTGAAAACGAACTGCCTCTAAACTCAGTTACTGGGCACAGACATCCCAGGTTTGAGCCCCCGTGCGGCCGCGGCCCCGCAACTCCGTGGCACCGTCGGGCGAGCGGGGGGTGGGGTGGAAGGAAACATCCCGCGCCAGCCCACCGCACTGTCGCCACCCGAAGCTGCTCCCTTTTGCAATCACGCGAGTGAGGCGCGGCTTCCCGCTCACTGTGCAGACGCAGCCGCGTGGACACACGTGGAGCAGCGAGTGTGGCCCTGGTAGCTTCTTCCCCTCCCGCCCTGCCGCTCCCTCCCAGGGTAAGCTCGCAGAACAGACGCCGCGCCCTCCGCCCCCCTGCGCCCCGCCGCCCTCCGCCCCCCTGCGCCCCGCCGCCCTCCTGCGCCCCGCCGCCCTCCGCGCGCCCCCGCAGCTGGCGCTGGCGCTGGCACAACCGCCGGCCAGGGCCCCTCACCCCCCGGGAAGCGGGCGAGCGCAAGCGCCACCGGCACCGGGCAGCTTGGGGAGACTGGGGCAGGATGCAGCTGACCGCAGAGCCTGGCTCGCCCTGCGGGAGGACAGGTTGCTCTTCACTAGGGTTTGCGTAGACATCCGGGAGGGTGTGTGTCGCCAAGGTTGCCAGCATCAAAATGGAGTCACTTATGCCAAACTCTTAACAACACAGAGTAGGAGGAGGGCATGAAGAAGTCCTCACGCCCACGTGCTCATAACTGGACTTGTCACAAGACCTTCCTGCACGGGGACCAGTAACAGGATTTACTACGAGAACCTTCTCAGGACCAGGACACTTACCCAGCAAGGCTGTCTCCACCATGGACAACGCCAGCTCCTGCAGTGGGCTTGTCACCTGCGAAACTTACTTGGGCTTCTCTTTGTCTTTAAAAGATTCCCCTTTGCCAAGACCCGGCTAAGTGTGCCCATGATCCGCCACAGCGCACACATCCCAGAGCTCAAGCCCTTGCATATTCCCGAGTAAGCGTATTTGTTCTGGAGAGCCTGTCGCTCTGAGTTTATTTTTTAGGTCGACGGTATGATTCCAATTACTTTTTTAAAAGTCATGCATACATACATAGGTATATAATTTTTACAAACAGAAATGGAATCCTATTGAGTTTTTCTGTGACCTGCTTTTTCCTTGATACACTACAGTGTTCCGTGTCAGTACTTGCAAAGCCATTTTATTCTTGACTGCACTTTTCTGTTTTCTGCGGTTGATTTAGGATTAGGAAGCAGTTGATGAGAAGGACAAGGTAGGGGGCTGGAGAGAGACACCAGGGAGGCCCCTCGCAGGACATGCTGTGACTCCCGAGCTGCCTTTCTCAAACTCCCTGGGCTGTGAGCCAGCCCGTGTCCTGGGCTGGTACTGTGTGGTCTGGGCCTATGCATTTCTGCAAACGACGGTCCAGGGTGGCTGTGGGAAATCCCCAAATTCCATCTTTCCAAAAAATGTTTTTATTTCATTTTAGGTTTCCATAACACAAGCCTAGCAAACCTGCAAAATGTTTTAATGATATTAAATGTCCTTCCCTTCCCTTGGATGTCTTTTACTCCTTTTTGGAGGAATCAAAGACAAACTTCAAATGCTAAGAATGTCAACTTCATCCTGTTTAATGCTGTTGTGCATGTTGCTAAGACAGAAGTTCCCAGAAGCAAATATGCCAAAATGATACTTGTGAAAGGAAAAAAGAAACAGCTTATTTCAAATGTCAATGGTCAATAATATTCTTGAAATGTAATTATCACCTTTGAAAATCATGTTTCTTAAAATCAATTGTGCCAAGATACCCTTGGGCCTTTCTTTCACAGAATGTTCAAACAACCTCAAACATGACACAAACTGCTAATTTGTTTTTTCTAGGGATGGAACTGGATCTCCGTGGTAGCTAGTTAGCTTTCCTAAGTAACAAAACGGGGCAACACCATGAATGCTGGGGCAGGACCGAGGGCAGGGAGCCACGCGGATGTGCCTTCTGTGGTCACGGCTGGTGGCTGGGAGCTCGTGCCCGTGAGGCTCTGCAGTCCGGGCCGGCAAGTGTCTGGCTCGCCTTGCGGAAGGGGAACCTGGGAGCTACAGATTGGGAGTTGAGATTTGAATCCTCCTAAAGGCAGTGCAGAGAGGATTTCACAAAGTTCAATTCTCTTGGCAAGAAGCCTGATGTCTTTTTTAAATTGTAAAGCCAGGTTTCACATTCCTTCACCCGCAAGGGGGTAAGAGAGGACTGAGGAGAATGGCTCACCCCACGGAGGCTGGGAGGGACGACGGGGGAAGTGGGAACCCTGAGAATCCTAGAGCAGAATTGCCCAGCTATGCAGAGGGGCCCTGGGTGAGTCCTGAATTCACACAAGTCAGGTTTACGGGAGCAGGACAGGTTTCCCAACTGAGGGGTAAAGCAGGTTCACTTTGTTAAAGGATACATGGTCATTGTTTCTAGTTCAATCTTTAGAAATAATGCAGCAATTACTTTTTCACAATTTCAGCCTTAAAACAAAAGTTTGAAAGCCACCAAATGCTTATCCAATGATCAGATCAGATGAACCAGTTAGTTACTAGTATTAGTAGTTTTTCACTTGTTTACCCTTAATTCTATAAAGTTTAATTTATTTTACATAAAACCACTGCTCACAGTGGGGAAGCAAAGTGAAAAGGCAACCTGCCGAATGGGAGAAAATATTTCCAAGTTATAGATTTGCTAATAGATGAATATCCAGAATATATGAACATCTACAACTCAACAATAACAAAAACAACTCAGTTTAAAAATGGGCACAGGACTTGAATAGACATTTCTCCACAAAAGATACACAAATAGCCAATGAGCACATGAAAAAGTTGCTAAATATCATTATTCATTAGGGAAATGCAAATCAAAACCACAATTAGACACCACTTCACACTCATTAGGATTACTATAATTAAAAAAAAAAAAAACACGTCTGAAATCCTAGCACTCTGGGAGGCCAACGCGGGAAGATTGCTTGAGGTCAGGAGTTTGAGACCAGCCTGAGCAACAGGGAGACCCCGTCTCTACTAAAAATAGAAAAAAAGTTAGCCAGGCGTGGTGGCATGTGCCTGTAGTCCCAGCTGTTCGGAGGCTAAGGCAGAAGGATCACCCAAGCCCAGGATTTTGAGGTTGCACTGAGCTATGATGGTGCCACTGCACTCTATCCGGGGCAACAGAGTAAGGCTCTATCTCAAAAAAAAAAAAAAAAAAATGTTGGTGAGGATGTGGAGAAGTTGAAACTCTTGTCCACTGTCAGTGGGAATGTGAAATGGTGCAACCACTATGGAAGACAAGACGGTGGTTCCTCAAAAAAAAATCAAACAAAATTATCACAGGATCTAGCCATTCCCCTTCCGTGTACATACCCAAAACAATTTAAAGCAGAAACTAAAACAGATATTTGTATACCAGTGTTCACAGCAGCATTATTCACAATAGCCAAAAGGTGGAAATAACCCAAATGTTCATTGAAAAATGAATGGATAAATAAAAAGTGGCATATACATGCAATGAAATATTACTTAGTCTTAAAAAGGAAGGAAATTCTGACATGTTACAGCACAGATAAACCTTAAAGACATTATGCTAGGTGAAAGAAGCAAGACATAAAAAGACAAATATTGTATGAATCCACTTACGTGAGTACGGGGAGTAGTCAAATACATAGACAGAAAGCAGAGGGTGGTGTCCAGGGGTTGGGGAGGACAGTGGGGAATTATTTAATGGGTGCAGATTTTCAGTTTGGGAAGATGAGAAAGTTCTGGAGATGGATGCTGGTGATGGTTACACAGCAATGTGGATGTACTAATGCCACTGACCTATACACTTAAAAATGATTAATATAGTAAATTTTATGTTATATATATTTGACCACAATAAAAAAGTGGGGAAGGATAAGGTATGCTTTGTTCAATTACAAAAAAGTTAACAGGGAGCACAAAAATGATAAATTTTTCAAGTTCAAGATATTTTCCACTAGATCTATACCATGTATTTACCTGATTGCAATTCTTACATAGCACATCTATCTCTGGCTCTTCAAAAATCAAAGTTAAAAGAGAAAATACTGTATGGGGTAAAAAAATTCAATTTGACTTTTACTTATGGAGAAAAGAAGGTCTCTACTCACAATGTATGATTTCTGAACAAACAACAAATAGAGATCTCTATCTCCTTATTTAGAAACAAAACAAAAATTATAAAAATAAATCAACTGGGTTTTTTAAAACCAAAAATTGTAAGCATTTGAAATAGCTGTTCTGCTCTATTTTGGATGCTATATGAAAATATATTTTAATATAAACTTTTCTCTCATTTAGACAAATTTTTATCAACATTACACATGTAAATTACTTTTTAAAAAATCAGAGTACAGCAAGGTTTGTGATGAAAAGTCTGTCTCCTTCCCAACTACCATGCCTTGATACGAACCTTCCTTAAGGGTCGCTGTGGGCTACAGGTGATAGCAGAGACATGTTGGTAGTCAAGCTAACTTTCTATTAATAAACTTCCCTGACAGAAGTAATTATCCTAAAGCTAGTGTACTAGAAGCTTTGTAGTCAGGGGCCACATTTCTTACCTCTACATGTCACAACACTTTGTAATAGTAAAGTGACAAACTCATTAATGCATCAAAGTCCCCAGAAACTGCTATGATAACAAACAGTGTTTCATGAGGGTGTACGTTTCATTCAATAATAAGAAAAATGTAATAATTGAGAAGTCTGCTATTTTAAAACATTAGACAAATGAATTATTCTTTTCATGATATGGGTTTTTAAGTGACAGTGAGAAAAATGTATATTAAGCAACTTTAAGAAAATAATAAATAGTAAAGCAGTATAAAATGATAGAAAAAAGTTATAAAGTTATATTGGCATTGTATCTCCTACTTTTTGTAACTTGGTCAACTTCTTTTTTTTTTGAGACAGAGTCTCACTTTGTTGCCCAGGCTAGAGTGAGTGCCGTGGCGTCAGCCTAGCTCACAGCAACCTCAAACTCCTGGGCTCAAGCAATCCTCCTGCCTCAGCCTCCCGAGTAGCTGGGACTACAGGCATGCGCCACCATGCCTGGCTAATTTTTTCTATATATATTAGTTGGCCAATTAATTTCTTTCTATTTATGGTAGAGACGAGGTCTCGCTCTTGCTCAGGCTGGTTTTGAACTCCTGACCTTGAGCAATCCGCCCGCCTCAGCCTCCCAGAGTGCTAGGATTACAGGCGTGAGCCACCGCGCCCGGCCTGTAACTTGGTCAACTTCTT